CTTGTCCGCAGTTTCGCTCTCTGAGGTTTCAGTTACCTGTGGTCAACTGTAGTCTGAAAACATTGAATGAAAAACTCCAGAAATAAACAATGGATATGTTTCACCTTTGTGCCATTCTGAGGAGTGTGCTGAAATCACACACCATCCCACTTGGGCGTGAAACATCCCTTTGTCCAGAGCACGCTTACTGTAGACTACCTGCCCAGGAGTCACTCAGTAGCTGGCTTGGTTATCAGAAGGACAGTCACAGTATCTCAGTGCTTGTGTTTAAGTCACCCTTATTTGACATAATCATGGCCCCAAAGTGCAAGAGTAGTGACGCTAGCATATTGTTATAATTGCTCTACTTTATTATTGCCCAACACATATTAAACTTTATCATAGGTATGCACGTGCAATATAGAAAGGACATAGTGTACATAGGGTTGAATACTATCTGTGGTTTCAGACATCTGTTGGGGTCTTGGAACATATCCTTTCCTGATAAGGGGGGATTATTGGATACTTAAAGAGTTACAAGATATCAGACAACAAGAATATCGTAAATGCCAATAGAAACAACATACTGCAAAGAATTCCTAGAAGGTCCAGGTAAATGAGAAAGGGGGGAAAAAGTCAGCAAGAAGGATTAGGAGAGAAGAAGAAAGAGGAGGAAAAAAAAAGAGGGCAGTGGGAAAGAATGAAACAGATACATTCAAACAGATTTCAGCTATCAGTAGGGTTCCAATGAGTTTCAATGCCCAATGCTTTCAAGAATTCATTCCTTAACCATGACAAGCACAAATTCATCAATGTCACTCCCCAGACCCAGGTGACCTCAAGACCTCAAGCTCCATGCAGTTTGGATGCAGAGCTTGATCCAGCAGGGAACCATTCAGAGGACTGATCACCTTCCAAGTGTAAAGAGTCTTAGTGTTTGGGAACGTGCATGCATTTCCCTAATGTACCATTAGGATGCTTCATAATGCTTCTAGGGCAAGGTTGTCATTACACAATTTCTATTTTCCTAGAACTATTCACCACAAATAATAAAGATCCAGGGAAAAGCCATGGAATGTAAGCCAGGCTATATATTTTCCAGAAAAATATCTAAATAGTAAAGCACTTGCAGGCCCACAGGATATGTGCAACATATGTTTTGAATGCTATTTTTTTTTTTTTTTTTTTTGGCAGTACTATGAGAAGATCTTTCTACACTGAGACTTTGATTGCTTACATTCTTCACCTAGAAGAAAAAGAAGAGCTGTAGTCCATCACTTGGGAATTTTTCCTGCAAAAAGCCACACAGCTGTATGTTTGGCATCATGTGAATATCCAAATGTAGGAACCCATGAGAGGAACATGGAAGTTTCTGGATGTGTAGGTGCCAGGCAGATAAAGATTGGTTCACCTCTTCACATTGTAACAATCTCTGCATTCTCCTATCACTGTTGAGGAAAGCTCATTCTGTGGTCAGAAAGGAAGAACACACTTCATGTGAAACCCGTATGGCAATCATTTCATGTCATTGAGCAGGAGGCCCAAACTCCTTAAACTGCTAGGCCAGGGTTTCTCAACCTCAGCGTTACTGGCATGTTGGACCAGACGATTGTTTGTTGTGGGAGGCTGCCCTGTGCGTTCTAAGGTGTCTTGCAGTATCCCCGCCCTCCATGCGTGAGATGCGGTAACACTATTTCCCTCCAGCCACGACGACCAAAACCGTTTCCGGACATGGCCAAATGCCCCTTAGAAGAGTCACCTAGCCACAGTCGGGAGCTACCTCCGTCAGTGGTTCCAGGGTATTCGTCATAATAGAAAAAGCTAGTTCAATGTGAAGGCTAACCTTTGGTCCCCAACGACCACTATGATGATGGGAAGCCATGGCATGGAGTCGTGGGAATAAAACTGGATGAGAAGCTCTTGTCCTTCTGCCACTCAGCTGTAAGAAAGGTTGCTCAAATGCCCAATTTAAAATTGCAGCCTCTTTCGCAAAGCCCAGCATTTGCCCGCCCTCTTCTCCTGACCAACTTTTTCATTTTCCAAAACATGTGTCACGCACAGAGTATTATCACATTTACTTAGATCCTATGTATGCTCCAAGGAAACCCAAGTCTTTGGTTCACTGATG